GTTTGGGAGAAAAAAAGGGAAGAGAACAAGAATCACTGCCTGGTAATCCAGCTAATTCTTCCAATTCTTACCCAAGATCACCAAGGTGGTTCCTCTATCAGTTTGCAAGAACCACAGTGTTGCTGAGCTTGGGGTACCTTAATGCATATTTGACTGCAGTGACTAAAAACTTAGATCACAACACCCAAGTCCCTTTGAATACTTGGAAAACTTTCCCAAGAAGGGTAGATACAAACAAGCCCTGAGTACAACTATAGTAAATACCTAATTCTTCAATACCAAGGCCCCAGCAAACATCTGCATGCATCAAGACCATCCAGGAAAACATGACCTGACCCAACAGACACCACTAAATAAGACACCAGGGACCAATCCTGGAGAGAGATATACGCGAACTTTCAGACAGATAATTCAAAATAGCTGTTTTGGGCTGGGCGCGGTGGCTCACATTTGTAATTCTAGCACTTTGGGAGGCTGAGGTGGGTGAATCACCTAAGGTCAGGAGTTTGAGAGCAGCCTGGCCAACATGGAGAAACCCCGTCTCTACTAAAAATACAAAAATCAGCTGGGTATGGTGGCAACATGCATGTAATCCATGCTGCTCAGGAGACTGAAGCATGAGAATTGCTTGAACCCAGAAGGCAGAGGTTGCAGTGAGCCAATATTGCAACATTGCACTCCAGCCTGGGTGACAGAGTGAGACTCTGTCTCAAAAAAAAAAAAAAAAAAAAACTGTTGTGAGGAAATGGAAGGAAATTTAAGATAACACAGAGAATGAATTCAGAATCATATCTGATAAATTTAACAAAAATTGTAATAATTAAAAAGAACCAAGCTGACATTTTGAAGTTGAAAAATGCAGTTGCCATACTGAAGAATGTATCAGTATCTCTTAATAGCAGAATTGATCACACGTAGACTAAAAATAAAGTCATGGAAAAAGATATTCTATGCAAATGGAAAGCAAAAAGAGCAGGAATAGCTATACCTACAACAGACAAAATTGATTTCAAGACAAAAACTGTTAAAAGAGACAAAGAAGGTCATTATATCATGAAAAAGGGGTTAAGTCAGCCAGAGGATATAACAGAGGTTATAACATTTGTAAATATGTATGCACCTAACACTGGACCACCCAGATAAACATATAATATACATTTATATATTTGAGATCAGCCTCTTCAACATGGCAAAACCCTGTCTCTACTAAAAATACAAATAAATTATCCAGGCATGGTTGTGTGCTCCTACAGTCCCAGCTACTCAGGAGGCTGAGGTGGGAGAATCTCTTGAACCTGGGAGGCAGACATTACAGTGAGCCCAGATAGCACCACTGCACTCCAGCGTGGGTGACAGAGTGAGACTCTGTCTCAAATAATAATAATATACATTTAATTATTTTCTTTACCTTTCTGTCACTATATATGCTCATGTATTCAGATATATAAAGCAAATATTATTGAAGCTAAAGAGAGACATAAACCCAAATACAGTAATAACTGCAGTCTTCAACATGCCACTTTTAGCATTGGACAGATCATCCAGACAGAAAATCAATAAAAATCACTGGACTTAATCTTTACTACAGACCAAATGGATCTAATAGATATTTTCCCAAACATTTATCCAACAGCTACAAAATTCACCTTCTTCTCTCCACCACGTGGATCATTCTGAAGGATAGACCATATGTTAGGCCACAAAACAAGTCTTATAACATTCAAAAAAAGTGAAATTATATCAAGTATCTTCTCTGATCATAATGGAATAAAACTAGAAATCAATAGCAAAAGGAATTTTGGAAACTATGCAAACACATAGAAATTAAACAATATGCTCCTGAATGACTAGTGAGTCAATGAAGAGATTAAAAAGGAAATTGAAAAATTTCTTGAAACAAATGATAATGGAAGCACAACATACCAAAACCTATGGGATACAGTGAAAGCAGTACTAAGATGGAAGTTTATAGATACAAAAAGAAAATCTTCATATAAATAACCTAACAATGCATCTTAAAAAACTAGAAAAGCAAGAGCAGACCAAACTCAATGTTAGTAGAAGAAATAATGGAGCTCAAAGCAGAAATAAATGAAATGGAAATGAAGAAAATAATACCAAAAAATCAACAAAAACGAAAAGTTTATTTTTTGGAAAGATAAACTAAGTTGACAAACTATTAGACAGACTAAGAAAAACAGAGAGAAGCTCTAAATGAAAAAGGAGACATTACAAGCAATACCACAGAAATTCAAAGGATGATTAGAGGCTATTATGAGCAACTATGTGCCAATAAATGAAAAACCTAGAAGAAATGGATGATTTCCTAGACACATACAACCTTCCAAGATTGAACCATGAAGAAATCCAAAAGCAGACCAGTAGCAAATAACAAGATTAAAGCCATAATAAGTCTTCCAGCAAAGAAGCCCTGAACCTGATGGCTTCACTGCTGAATCTTACCAAACATTTAAAGAAGAACTAATACCAATCCTACTCAATCTATTCTGAAAAATAGAGGAGGAGGGAATACTTCCAAACTCATTCTACAAGGCTAGTGTTACCCTGATAAAACCAGAAAAAGACACATCAAAAAAAAAAAAAAAAAAAAAGGAAAGAAAACTGTAGATCAATATCGCTGATGAACATTAATGTAAAAAATCTTTATTAAAATACTAGCAAACTGAATTTAACCATGCATTAAAAAAGATCATTCATCATGACCAGGGATTTATCCCAGAGATGCAGTGTTGGTTGAACATTATCAAAACAATCAATATGTATGTCATATTAACAGAATGAAAGACAAAAGTTATGTGATCATTTCAATTGATGCTGAAGAGCATTTGATAAAATTAAACCTTTCGTGATTAAAAACCCTCAAAATCTGAGTATAGAAGGAACATAGCTCAACATAATAAAAGCCATGTGTGACAGACCCACAACTAGCATCATACTAAATAACAGAAAACTGAAAGCCTTTCCTCTAAGGTCTGGAATACAAGGATGTCCACTTTCTCTGTTGTCATTCAACATGTTTTCACTTATGTGTGGGAGTTAAAAATTAAAACAGCTGAACTCATGGATGTAGAGGTGGCCTCAATCATGTCAGGGTCACCACCTAAGACATTACTCACCACCTGCAGAAGTTTGACCTGCAGACCCTGACTCAATGATGGATGAATGAATGTACTCTCACACCATTACCGTGTTTCAAGTGGGCTAGGGATAGCCGTTGACTACTTTCAGAGGGCAAAATGCAACCAATCGACTCAGACCCTCTGTCCATTCACACTTCTATTCCATCAAGATTTTACAACAGAGGTTCTAAGTTAACACACTTGTGGATAATTAACATGGTTAAAAGAGTGGTTATAGGAATGATAAAAGCTTTAGGTTCCGGGGCCCAGAGTAAATGCGATTAACAGGTAATTCCCTTTGACCTTCCCCAAGAGACCACCCAGCACAAAATTAACATGAGCAAACAGGCTGGAGACAAATGGGTGTGGGGTAAGACATTTTATCATCTCTATCTCTCCCTAACTTAAGCGGCCGGCCGGCTGCCTTTGGTCTGCCCCAATAAAATCTTTCAGCCTTCCAGAAGGTTTGAGACTAATCTATAACTTTCCCTAAATATTTTCTGTAATATTTTGCCACCACCCCGAGTGAATAGCAACATACAGAGAGTAGAAAGATGGTTACCAGAGCTTGGGAGGGTTTGTGGAGGCTGCAGGGGTAATGAGGATGGTTAATGGGTACAAAAAATAGCAAGAATAAAATCTAGTGTTTGATAGAACAGCAAGGTGAATATAGTCAATAATAGTTTCATCATACATTTTTAAATAACTAAGAGTATAATTGGATTGTTTGTAACACAAAGGATAAATGCTTGAGGTGATGAATACTGTATTACTTTAGACATCTATCAAAATGTCTCATATATCCCGTAAATATATACACCTACTAAGTACCCACAAAAATGAAAAATAAAATTGTTTTTTAAAAAGCAGCATTTCTGATTCATGGGAGAAGGTCAAAATGTCAAGGTTAACAGGAGTTTGGAAGAAGTTGATTCCAGCTGTCATGGATGACTTTGATGGAGTTCAAGACCTCAGTGCTGGAGGAAGTGACTCCAGATGTGGTGGAAGCAGCGAAAGAAATAGAAATTGGAAATGGAGCTTGAAGGTGTGATTTAATTTCTGCAGTCTCATGAAAAAACTTGAACGGATAAGGAGTTGCTTCTTATGGATCAATAAAAATGGTTTCTTACAAGATCGGGCACGCTGGTATGGCCATCAACAAGAAAGTAGCTTCTCAAAATGGAATCTACTCCTGGTGAAAATTCTGTCAATCCTGTTGAAGTGACAACAAAGAATTTTCAATATTACGTAAACTTAGTTGATAAAGTAGCAGTAGGGTTTGAGAGGATGACTCAATTTTTGAAAAAAATTTCTGTGAGTACAATGCTCTCAAACAGCATCACATGCTACAAAGAAAACTTTTGTAAAAGGAAGAGTCAATTGATGCTGCTTAAACTTCATTGTCTTAATTGCCACAGCCACTCCACCCTTCATCAGCCACCACTGGATCAGTCACATTGAGCCAAAACCCTCCACCAGAAAGAAGATGATGACTTGCTGAGGGCTCAGATGATTATTAGCATTTTTTAACAATAAAGTATTTTTAAATTAAGATATATACATTTTTTTTTCTACATATGCTATTGCACATTTTATATACAATAGTATAGTGTAAACATAACTTTTATATACACTGGGAAACCAAAAAATTTATGTGACTCACTTTATTGTGATATATACTTTATTGCAGCAGTCTGGAATCAAATCTGTAACATCACCATGATATACCTCTAGATCCCAAGTTAGATAATTAAATTGAGGGATACACAGAGGAAATTCTATCAAGAAGGGATTCAAAAACACTTCAGAAATCATTGGCAGTAGATGTCCACGGGTATTCAAGTTTGTTTTTTTATTTAGGAATTAGAAAATGCAGTTGGGAGCTGGACAGATGACTTGACCCAGTTGACCCTACTGAAGGACACCCTCTCTGCCTATATCAGTGCTGATGATATCTCCATTCTTAATGAACGCATAGAGCTTCTGCAAAGGCAGTGGGAAGAGCTATGCCACCAGGTAAGACAAGTTCTTAAAATGAAATTATCTTGATGATGAAAAACTGGGAGATGAATTTGAGTGTCAGATGGCTTGACCCACATTTGGACCCATCCCGTAATTCTTAGTATGGACAAAGGAAGAACATTGTGCTTACTACCAGAACATTTCAGATTAATATTTAAATTTTATAGTTTAAATTTATATTTAAATTTTATAGTTTAAATTTATATTTAAATTTTATAGTTTAAATTTATATTTAAATTAATATTTTAAATTTATATTTTACCACATTTGAGAACAAGCTAAACTAGATTCTTTTCCTCCCACTTCCACTGGCTGGCATAATATTTTTAAGAGAAAGCACAATGTTATGGTTCACAGGTGTGGTTTTGCTGGATAGATACACTTGAAACATGAAAAACTGTTGTTGTATTTGCAATATTAGCTAATACTGTGGAGCTGGTTTTGTGCAGGGAATAGTTACTGTCACTCTTAATTTGCTGTAGTTGTTTCCTGGTAATTTATGGTCATTTTTAGTCCTACTTTATTCATTTATTAAATAGCTTCTATGTGCACAACATCTTAAAAAGGATCCCAGATTGACTTTGAATTGGAAATGAAAGGGAAATATTGCTCGAAAAGCAGCGAGAAGACATCCTAGGCAAAGATAAATAAAAGATTCGAAGGCTCAGCCAGGTGTGGTGGCTCATGTCTGTAATCCCGGCACTTTGGGAGGCCGAGGTGGGTGAATAATCGGAGGTCAGGAGTTTGAAACTAGCCTGACTAACATGGTGAAACCCTGTCTCTACTAAAATCACAAAAACTGGCCGGGCATGGTGGGCCCCTGTAATCCCAACTACTCAGGCGGCTGAGGCAGGAGAATCTCTTGAACCTGGGAGGCAGAGGTTGCAGTGAGCCGGGATTGCGCCACTGAACTCTAGCCTAGGAAACAGAGCAAGACTCTGTCTCAAAAATAAAAAAACAACTGAAAGTCTCATAATGAAAAACAGGCCTAACTGCCTTGAGGTTATGCTTTCCAGGAAGCAGGGCCCTGTCTGTCTTCTTACTTCTACACCCCGAGTGCCCTGCCTGGCACATAATAGGCTGTGATACATCTCTGTTAAATGTTTCAGTCATATAAATTATTGTGATGTTCACAAACCATAATAAATGTCCCTACCATCAAGTTTAAACTTGAGCTGAGATTAAAATCAGTCTAGGAGAATGTGTACAATTAAGAAGAAAGCCAGGTATAAACAGGTAAAAACAATGTAAAAAACACTATAAAATAGGGGCTGGGCGCGGTGGCTCATGCCTGTAATCCCAGCACTTTGGGAGGCCAAGGCAGGCAGATCACCTGAGGACAGGAATTTGAGACCAGCCTGACCAACATGGTGAAACCCCGTGTCTACTAAAATTACAAAAATTTCCGGGCAGGGTGGTGGGTGCCTGTAATCCCAGCTACTCGGGAGGATAAGGCAGGAAAATCACTTGAACCTGGGAGGCAGAGGTGCAGTGAGCCGAGATCACACCACTGCACTCCAGCCAGGGCAACAAGAGCGAAACTCCATCTCAAAAAGCTGTTTAAAGATGTAAGCAAGCTAAGGTTTGTGTGGACGGTGGGAAATAAAGAATATGTTTCTTGAGGTGGATGAATTTTGAATTGAGTTTCGAGAAAGAGAGCAGAGGAGACAGATTGATGTGAGAAAGCAAATGGACATGATGCAATGTGGCAGCCAGAGCAGAGGACCTGGCTGGGAAAAGCTGGTGTGGGAAGGCTGAGGAAGGGGCTGCTGAGAGGCGATTCTTATGCCCTATTCTTCTGTCCCCACCTGTTGCGCTGCCCTGGGATCTCTTTTGTCTCCCATCCTCCACACTTTCTCTGACTTTAGGGATGCTTATCCTCATACTTCAGGAACCATTAAACAGAGTTTAAGAGGCTCAGAGCCTCTTGATTTATGTGATATCAATAAGAAGGGTGTTTTCAGGAAAATTTCTCTCTACATTTATGTGAAAACCCAGGTTTTTCTCCGTCCATGGACCAACCAAAAGCTCTGGAGCACACATGGTAGATGTGTGAGCAGTTTCCTGTGAATATATACTTTTTTAAAAGGGGACACATATAAGAGATGGCTTTCACCAACATGTTAATGATTTGAGTTCAAAATGAATGTAGCTACTTTCACACAGCTTCATTTTCTCAGTGAACACAATGAGAAACTTACATGGAGTTACTCATAGAGGGTGGTAATATTAATCACAGCACTTGATTCATTTCGGAATTCTTCAAACTGAAAGTAATACTTTAATACAGTAAATCATCCTACAATGTTGCAATATAAAGACTTTATTGTGATATAACAAAATGAAAGAGATTTGGTGGGTGCAAATTGTGGAAATTATCACAGCAATCTTCAGTTACCTCTGTGAGCCTGTTCATCTGTTTTTCTTAATTTTAAGAAAAGTCTAGCACTACCTGCTCTCTTAATATTTTTTAGCATGTTGGATGAATTGGGTTAGACCAGATCTATTGCTTTAGCTAAATGATGCCTATGAAACCTTCAGAGAGATGTTTTAGAGATTGGATCCTGTGTTTCAAACCAGCCATGAACTTCCCTCCCCAAAGACCTGGATTATGCCACTTCCTGCCGACACTGTTTTCTCTTTTTTTAATTTTCCAACCTGTTGCCTTTTATATCCCATAACCCCTGCAACGTCATTTATGAAATGCTCGGCCCTCGGTATGTTTTTGGTCCTCTGAACTCTCATTGCTCTTTTGGTTTTGCCATCATGTGGCATTGTATTATTATTCTTTTTAATGTTTGTAACCTCATTCCAAGGGTATGAGGACTTTGATATGCAAAGACCATTTCTTTATATCCCAGTGTCTGGAGTAGCTAAGTGTTAATGATGTATTGTTTATAATTAAGACATTAGGACATTTATTCTATTTCTTTATACTTGCGTTTCTCTAAGTGTAAAATAATGACAAGATTTTGAATATTTTAGAGGTTAAGAAAATTATGGTTACACAATATTTTTTGATTTAGGAAAACTGTTGTATAAAAATGCCATGGAATTATTATTAATTGCTAAGTTAGTCATTCATATGTTGTAAAATTGTTCTCCAGACTTAGATATATCTAGACAGCAATCTGGAAATGTATTTCGAAAGCTGCTGTTGATCATGCGATATGCTGTAAATAGATTAATACCTTGCACCTGTGAGTAGACTAAGAAGTTAAAAAGAATCAATAAAAGGAATACATAGTTTTTTAGAAATTTTCTATGTTGAAGTGTCTTAACACTTGAAATTAAAGTGTACTTATATTATTAATACCTCACTCTGAAAAAAAAATTTTAAACCAATGAGAGTTTAGTCATGGGTTTGATCAAGGTGCCAGGATGTAACTCTAAGGGGGATATAGATTAGTTTCTAGTTCAAGCTAGTTGTATCCGGTGAATTTCTGTCAAGTTTGAAACCACAAAAGGAAATGAGCTTGTGTCTGTGTCACATTGTAAGAGTCAAAACTTGAGTTCAACAGAACATTATCCCTACTAAGGAGCAAGTAGTCTGTTCCTATTCTGACCGAAGCTGTTGAGGAGGAGTCTGGAATTCCTAGGACTGGCGATGAGAATGAGGAAGACAGGCTGTGAGTAAACATTGCAGGGCAGAGTTAATATATTAAAGTATCTGTTTTCAAGTAGATACCCCTTGTTGTGTCTGTGTATAGCCAGAGCTTATACTTGCTTTTATTCCTGTTTTGGTTTGTAGATCTGTGTGTAATTCTAGCTGAAATATAAGTATATGTCATCATAATTGCTTGTTGTTTTTTCAAAACGTCATGGTAAAAATATTTCAGCTAGAAAAGGATGTATTTCCTGTTGAGCTGCTGCACACTCTGAAGGTTTTAGCTGGTGCTTCTCTGCTGTTGGTGATGCAATGTATTTGTGCCCCTGCGAAAACATTAATATGTACTAAGATGATAAATAATTTGAAGGTTTCATCTGTATCCAAAGAAAGAGATGGTAATGTTTACTTAGTATATAGACTAAATACTAGATGTGCAAACCAGAAGGAAGATACTATCACCCCTGCGAATGTACATCTTTTGAAATGCATTTGACCTGGGTGTGTACCCAGTACTTGTAGCCTTGCTGGTTTTTTTGTTTTTGTTTTTGTTTTTTGTTTTGTTTTTTTGTTTTGTTTTTTCAGGTATAGCTCTGTGGTAAGAAAATGAAAGCAACAGTTTCATGATGTATAATAAACACTAGGGAGATATATATATATATATATAATCCAGCTGCTTAGTGGAGATATTGAATTAATGAGTTTCAAGGGAGGAAAAACAATTTAAAACTTAAGTGATGCCCTGTAGCCATGTATAATAGCTCTAGTAGCAACAGCAGCAGCAGTAGCAGCATAGGAATGGCCAGGTGTTGCGAGGTCTTTAGTATATATCAGCTAATTTCTTTTTTGTTTTGTTTTTTTGAGACAGAGTTTCACTCTTGTTGTCCAGGCTGAAGTACAGTGGTACGATCTCGGCTCACGGCAACTTGTGCTTCCCAGGTTCAAGCAATTCTCCTGCCTCAGCCTCCTGAGTAGCTGGGATTTCAGGCGTCGGCCACCACACCCGGATAATTTTGTAGTTTTTAGATGTGGTTTCACCATGTTGGCCAGGCTGGTCTTAAACTCCTGACCTCAGGTGATCCATCCGCCTCAGTCTCCCACCCTGCTGGGATTATAGGTGTGAGCCACCACACTAGGCCATATCAGCCAATTTTTTAAATTACTCCTTTGTTTATATAGTATCACCATATTGATAGGACAGGGCTGGGCACATAGAGACACTTGTTTACTACAGACAGTAAACATTTGTTTAATGGATTTTTGGAGCAAACTTAAGATTAATTCCTAAATGAAAGGAGTAAGTAGTAGAGAAAATGAGGGACCGTGTCCTGGTCATCCAATTAGCAGTGATGGATGAACTATTTTTGAATCTCAGCTGCATCTGGATATTTAATCATATTTGCACCTCATATCAAAAACTCAAGCTTTGCTGGTCTTATCTTGAACTGACTCTAAACAAGTGCCCTAAATTTGTTCAGCTGTCACATTCTTTGTCTCTGGAATAGAGATAACAATACCTGCCTATGAAAGTCATAGGTAATATTTTTCTATTATGTGACCATCCTCCCTGCAGATATTTGTGAGTAAAGACCTAGAGTTCATTCTTGGCTTATGGCAAAGATTTGGGAGAAGTGTAAGTGAGGAGTTATTTGTTCACCTTCCGTCTGAAGGGCAAGGGTTTCTATTTTTTTTTTTCTCACTCTGCTGCCCAGGCTGGAGTGCAGTGGTGCAATCTCGGCTCACTGCAACCCCTGCCTCCTGGGTTCAAGCAACTCTCCTGCCTCAGCCTCCTGAGCAGCTGGGATTACAGGCACCTGCCACCACGTCTGGCTAATTTTTGTATTTTTAGTAGAGACGGGGTTTCACTGTGTCGGCCAGGCTGGTCTTGAACTCCTGGCCTCCAGCAATCTGCCCATCTTGGTCTCCCAAAGTGCTGGGGTTGCAGGTGTGGGACACCACACCTGGCTTCAATTCTTAGAAAATGGTTACTTTGGGCTGGACAAATAATGAAAATATAATTTCAGTTTTGCCATCAATTGAACCAGGATTTTAACTACCAGCCAGACTACTGAATCTTCTGCCTTGTGAATGAAAGGGAAAAGGCCATTTTCACCAAAGAGTTCACTATCTGAGTGACCCAGCAGAAGATCAGAGTGCATGCAGCTGTCAGAGCTGGAGGGGGAAGGGGTGCTGGAAGGATTATATTCTTCAATGCTGTTTTGGGTACAGTGGAAAGTGACAAAGTTTGTCTCCAAAACTTTTAAATCTGTGTTTTCTTAGCTTTTTCCATTTCTGTAGGACCTACCCCAAGTGAGTTCACTCCCCTTTGACTGTTCTGTATTATTCTGCCTCCAAAACCCTCAATAAGAAACTGAATTCTACTAATGGGGAAATAGTAGATTCACCAGTGGCACCCAACCCAGAAAACTTTTATGTTAAAAGATCATAATTAAATGAAAAGAATAAATTTCTCATGGTGGCCTTTCAAAATGTATGGTAGATTATGGGGCTTACTCTCTAGGCAACTCACTATGCCTAAGGCTGGCCTTGGGATATGTATACTGGGATCCTGGACTCATTTACATGGATGTAGAATCACAGATATTTAGGTTTGTGTTGTTTGTCTAATCCTTAACAGAGCCAACCCTAGGCAGAATTGATAACTAGAAAGTGTATAATACCTTAGAAATATTTTCATTTTCATTTTAAAAAGGAAATTTGTTTGAAATATGTAAAAAGTAAATGTAAATGTATCGGCTGGGCATTGTGGCTCACACCTGTAATCCCAGCACTTTGGGAAGCCAAGGCAGGTGGATCACCTGAGGTCAGGAGTTCAAGACCAGCCTGGCCAAACAGGTGAAACCCTATCTCTACAAAAAATACAAAAATTAGCTGGGCATGGTGGTGGGCATCTGTAATGCCAGCTACTTGGGAGGCTGAGGCAGGAGAATCACTTGAACCCGGAGGCAGAGGTTGCAGTGAGCTGAGATTGTACCATTGCACTCCAGCCTGGGTGACAGAGCGAGACTTTGTCTTTAAAAAAAAAAAAAGTAAATATGTTAAGGAAAGAATATGTCTTAAAGCAAAGTATAGCAAAATGTTAACAGTTTGAGTTCATCATGAGTGGTTTCCATACAATTCTTTCAGTTTTTCTGTGTCAGAAATGTTTTGTAATAAAATGTTGGGGGTAAAATAAAATCAGTAAGGACATGTTTAATGCAATGAAATCAATAGTGGAATAGCTTGCATTATGAACAAGACTGTGGAAGAACATCTTCAAACCTTCTTACCAACTTGTTCGTGTTTTGCTAACATGTAGTTTAGTTCAACTAGAAACATTTCTTAGCATTTCAATCAGCACTGTGAACATAAGAATATTATATTATGAAATAAGAAAATTTTAGAATTCTGGAAAGGATAATTCTAGACCTAGAGATAAGAGAACAAGCCCATTGTATATGTAATGTGTAAGGAACTCTCAGAACTCCTTAATAAAAAGGCAAGCTAATTAAAAAGAAGGCAAAGGATTTGAGTAGATAACTCTCCGAAGGACATATACAATTGGCCAAGACATGTGAAGGGTCTCAGTGTTATTAGCCTTTAGGGAAATGCACATCAAAACCATCATCAGATAGCACCTCACACCCACTAGGATGGCTATCATCAAAAGTGTTGGTGAGGATGTAGAGAAATTGGAATCCTGCTGCTGGTGGGAATGTGAAATGGGCAGCCACTTTGGACAACAATCTATAGTGTTAACCATATGACTGAGAATTTCTGCTGGATAAATACCTAAGAGAAATGAAACGCGTGTTCATACAAACACTTGCAGGCAAATGTTTTTAACGGCATTATTCATAATAGGCAAAAAGTGGAAACAACCCAAATAAGATGAGTTAATAAATACAACCTGGTATATTCATATAATGGAATATAGTCTGCAATAAAGAGAATGAAGTATTGATACATGCTACAATATAGATGATTCTTTAAAATATTCTAAGTGAAAGAGGCCAGTCATATAAGATTACATGTTACATGATTCCATGTATATGAAATGTCCAGAATAGGCAAATCCACAGGGACAGAAGGGAGATTAGATTGCTGGGAGGTGAGTGAGAAGCAGCAGGAGAGTAACTGCTGATGGCTACAAGGTTTTTGTTGTGGTGGTGGTGGTGGTTGTTTGAGGTGGAGTCTTGCTGTGTCATCCAGGCTGGAACACAATGGCACGATCTTGGCTCACTGCAACCTCTGCCTCCTGGGCTCAAGTGATTCTCCTGCCTCAGCTTCCCAAGTAGCTGAGATTACAGGCATGGGCCACCATGCCTGGCTAATTTTTGTATTTTTAATAGAGACGGAGTTTCACCATGTTGGCCACGCTGGTTTCGAACTCCTGACCTCTAGTGATCCACTCGCCTTGGCGTCCCAAAGTGTTGGAATTACAGGAGTGAGCCACTGCACCTGGCCGTTTTTTGGAATGATAAAAATATTCTAAAATTGAGTATGGTGATGATTATACAGAAGCTGTTCATATACTAAAAAGCACTGAATTGTACATGTTTAAACAGGCGATTGTATGGTGTGTGAAATATATCTTAATAAAGCTATCATGCAAGAAAAAGAAGGAAAATAAACAAAAATAAATAAATAGAAATGAAAACTGCAGAGAAGAGCTTGCCTGAAGTCAATGTGTCAGCATGGAGCTGAGCCTCGGGATGCCTGCCTCCACTTCAGGCCGCTTTGCTTTGGCACCGCCCTCTCCCGCACTCTAGATACCTGAGGCTCATTTTTCCTTTCCTTCTTTTCTTCCTTTTTTTCTTCTTTCCCTATTTTTACTCTTTTCTTCTTTCATCTTTCTATTCTTTTTTCTATCTTTCCTTTTTTGTTTTTCCTCCCTTCTTTATTCATCCCTCTTTTACTTTCCATCTTTTCTTTCTTCTTTCTCTGTTCTTTTCCATTTCTTCCTTCTTTTTTAGTGAAAGCACATTCACTCATCATGTATCCTATCTGTCCTGAACCAATTGTGCGAAGTTGCATTATCTAGAACCTTTAATAAGCTCATGTGCTTGTGGATCTTTAAGAAAGAACTAGAAGTTTCAATGTCTCTCACTTGTATAATACCAAATCCTGGACTTCAGGAAACAGTGGATTAAAATGATGTATGACTATCATTCCTTTTGGTCCTAGTTTATTTGCTATTTTTCTTGGGGAGTGAGCTCCTCTCTGATAATCATTTTGCATATTCTCCCATTTTAAACTTTTCAGCTCTCCTTAAGGCGGCAGCAAATAAGTGAAAAATTGAATGAATGGGCAATCTTCAGTGAAAAGAACAAGGAACTCTGTGAGTGGTTGACTCAAATGGAAAGCAAGGTTTCCCAGAATGGAGACATTCTCATTGAAGAGATGATAGAGAAGCTCAAGAAGGTATGGAATGCATGACTACTCAGCTTTTCATTCTTCACAAAGCTTAGGTACTTTTCACAGGTACAGAAGGTGACTTTACTCATAATTACTTTCCTGTCAAAGGAGCACTGTATTTTAAACATTTTCTCTTTTTAATATAAGATAAACTTGCATGAAAAGGCCTGCTTTACACACAAAATATATAGAATACTTGCAATTTGTGATGAAATAGAGTATCTACTGAAAATGTTCAGTATTTGGGGGGTTTTAACTACTTGTCCAGTAGGAACCATTTATATGTATTACTTTTCTTTCCTTTTTTTTTTTTTTGTGTGTGTGTGTGTGTGTGTGTGTGTGTTTTTAAAGAGGAAAAGTCACTAGAGAGAAACTGAAAGAAAAAATTCTTAGAATAAATTGAATTCACATTTTTTCCCTAAAGTATGGTGTATAGACCATAGAGAAGAATTAAGAGTTTCCTGATAATTTTGGCTTCATATTATTTTCAGGGTATATATATCTTATCAGATTATTTTATATATTAATTGGGATCTAAAACACTTCTGATGTCTACATAAAGCTGATCAAATTTTCTAGCATTTAAAATTTTTTTATGATTTTGGCCAGGCGTGGTGGCTCATGCCTGTAATCCCAGCATTTTGGGAGGCAAGGTGGGGAGATCTCTGGAGGTCAGGAGTTTGAGACCATCCTGACCAACACAGTGAAACCCCGTTTCTACTAAAACTACAAAACATTAGCTGGGCATGGTGGCGTGCGCTGGTAGTACTGGCTACTCAGGGGGCTGAGGCAAGAGAATTGCTTGAACCCAGGAGGTGGACATTGCAGTGGGCTGAGATTGTGCCACTGCATTCCATCCTGGGTGACAGAGTGAGACTCTGTCTCAAAAAAAAAATTTTTTTTTTTTATGATTTCAGCATTCCCACAGTGCTCATGAACAGTAATTTTAATGTTATTTTAATTTGCTTCTCATTAGTACATATCACCATCTAATGAACAATGTACTTTTTGTATTTACTTATTCATTGTCCAGATGGAGACCACGCTGATCTGTGAGCTTTACGGGAGCATGGGCTTTGTCTATTTTGTTCATTGCTATATCCCCTGCACCTGAAGCACTGCCTAACTTCTGATAAGCACACAGCCAGTATTTACTGCATTAACAAATAATAACTTCATTTATTCTGAAAAGAAATATAAATGGTTATTAAGAAAAATTATTTTTATCCATATGCACACATAGAGAGAAAAATAAAACATCCAAAGCCAACGTGTGATATTAATGATGTTACAGAAAATGGCAAATCCATTATGATTTGCCATTAGATAAGCATTTGTTTATCCAATTTGTTTATCCATTGGATAAATCCAAATGGGTAAGCATTTGTTTATATGATATTGTAAACCTTAAAACTCTTGGCTGAGATGATACACATTTCATTTTAGCATCTGCTCGTGGTTGCACATTCTAAGTTGTTGGGCATCAGAGAATGCTATAAGTGCATGATTAATGTCCTATAGGTAGTAGAGTAAAATTTGCTATAGAATAAACTTTGATTAAGTTTGTCTCTATTCTCATTACTTTTCATTATGAAATTTAGGATGTATATTTTGAGAGTGTGGGGAAAAGCATTTCTTAAATAATCTATGACTTAAAATTTAGAAAAGTTTTAGCTTTTCATACAGATAATTTTATCACATTACTTGGCACAATGTTAGAAACACTATTTAAAATATTAACTATACTACCTTGTATGTTGATAACTCACGGTATTTTTTTAAAGGTCTTATGGGTTTTTCTCTTTCTAGTGTCTCTTGTAAAAGAAAATAGCATCAAGGTTTGGTAATTTTGACAGCATAGAAGAAGGTAGTTGTCAAGTGGAAAATGCTAATAAGATGAAGGAAAAAGAAAAAAAGAAAAAGGCAATTCATAAAAAAACAATGGAAGCCAAGATATTAGTGTCTGTTGCTATTAACGCTCAAAAACAGTTTGATTTTAAAGACAACCCAAGAGGATTATTTTACTATAAATACCCTTTAAGTCTTGAAGTAATTCCCTTGAAAGAAACACTACTCGATAAAATCATCTCAAACGTGTGCTGAAACATTATAATGTTAATAAATGGATTCAGCGTATTGGTCTTTGAATCCCACTGTTTTGAAATAACATAAGAAGGTGGGTGGGTGGAGGTGTAGGCATGAGGACTGCAGTCAGCACTGGAATGGAATAAAATGTTGTTGGTTCCTACCATTCCTCAGGGGCCCTTCAGCTTAGGTGAATGACTTGGAAGCATAGCTCTGTTCCCACACTAACTTTACAGCAAGAGAAGGTCAAAATGTTCATGCTCATATAATGCCTGTCTTCATATATTATTTGCTGAGAAACTATTTCTTGTATAACAGGAGCTTAAGCCAAAAATTAAAAAGTTGATCCTAAAGACTGGAACCTGTCACTGTGGCAAGAGAGTAAGAGGGTCATTAGGGATAGCAGTGGTGGTGGCAGGGAGAGACTGTTCTTTCATCGTCTCTTAAATTATAGCATTTTGTGCTTACCTTTTGCAAATAGTCCATAAGAAGTCTGGTGTTTTGTTTGTTTGTTTTGTTTGTTTTTTGATATGGAGTCTCACTTTGTTGCCCAGGCTGGAATGCTGTGGCACGATCTTGGCTCACTGCAACCTCCACCTCCTGGGTTCAAGCAATTCTTCTGCCTCAGCCTCCCAAGTAGTTGGAATTACAGGCTCCCACCACCGTGCCCAGATGATTTTTGTATCTTTAGTAGAGACGGGGTTTCACCATATTGACCAGGCTGGTCTCAAACTTCTGACCTTGTGATCCGCCTGCCTTGACCTCCCAAAGTGCTGAGATTACAGACATAAGCCACCACGCCTGGCCAAGTCTGTCCTTTTTAACCCAAACAATCTAAGAGAAGCTAGCACAGAAAGTGAGTAAATCAAGAAGGTTTTGAGGCCCATTGATTCTCTAAAATTAATAGTTATTATTATTGACAGTTAATTTATCATTGATTTATTTGTTGCAAAATATTGACATTGTATAGAGGATATCTTTTTTAAATGAAGGAACTCTTTTAAAATATTCTGCACAAATAACAAGTGACACACACACACACACACACATATTCACATTTACATATGTACATATATATCAATTGCATATGTATGTATGTGTGTGATAAGCCTCTCGGCAACTATTTGTATGAAATTCTAACATCAGGATAGTGATGAGAGAAATAAAGTATAGTTTCCCAGTGTTAAAATCTCTTAATTTTTATCTTTTATATCTGTCTTTTTTTGATTTTTAATACGTATTTCAAGTAAATAGGAAGCAGCACCCTGTTTATTTTGAAAACATCTATATAAAAATTTAATCCCAACTCTGGATACATACCAAAAATAATAGATACTACTACTTCTTGTATACATGGGCTGATGTTCATATGGTATTCCTATGCTAGAACTATTTCCAAGTAGTAGAAAACAGTAATTATCATGTTTCTAGTAGAGCCAGCCTGGATGCATTAAGAATATGCTTTCTGACCTCTGTGATTGCTATTTATTACACAGGATTATCAAGAGGAAATTGCTATTGCTCAAGAGAACAAAATACAGCTCCAACAAATGGGAGAACGACTTGCTAAAGCCAGCCATGAAAGCAAAGCCTCTGAGATTGAGTACAAGCTGGGAAAGGTCAACGACCGGTGGCAGCATCTCCTGGACCTCATTGCAGCCAGGTAAAGAGGACCCGAGTCAATAGGACATGTGTGGGAAGCATTTTAAAGCCTTTCAGTCTGCCTTTCATCAGTTGAAGATAATCCAATAAATTTCTCTCTCTTCCTGGGTTATCTCACCATTTTGAATACTGTTCATGCTCTTCTCTTAGTTGACACTTTCATTACCTTGAAAATTCTCCTCTTATTTTATAAATCTTGTGTTGTTTTTATGTAGCTGTGAGAAAGAGAGAAAGAGTTATATCCAAACAAAATTCACTCCTGAGAAAAAACTCTTTATTTTAGGGCTTCATGGGTATTGAAACTCCTATCAGAAAGAAAGAGAAACTGCTGACCACCAGTATTTTTGTCTACAGTAGCAAAAAAAAAAAAAAATTGCTAAATCCCTGCCATATTTTTAGTTAGCAAGTTGTGGAACTAAATCTGATTCTTGCCACTCTGCTCAGTTGTAAAAATCAGCTGCTGCATTATAGTAATTTTGTGTTTAGCATTAGTGCTATAATTATAAGCATTTGCCTCATACCTAAGAGGAACATTATATTCAGTTTCTGTTGCAGAAGGTCAGCGTTGGGTAAGAGAAATGAAAGTCAAAAAGAAAAATAGGGCCGGGCGCGGTGGCTCAAGCCTGTAATCCCAGCACTGTGGGAGGCCGAGGCAGGTGGATCACGAGGTCAAGAGATCGAGACCATCCTGGTCAACATGGTGAAACCCCGTCTCTACTAAAAATACAAAAAAATTAGCTGGGCATGGTGGTGCGTGCCTGTAATCCCTCCTGAGTAGAGGAGGCTGAGGCAGGAGAATTGCCTGAACCCAGGAGGCGGAGGTTGCGGTGAGCCGAGATTGCGCCATTGCACTCCAGCCTGGGTAACATGAGTGAAACTCCGTCTCAAAAAAAAAAAAAAAAAACAAAAATAGACTAGGCATAGTGGCTTATGCCTGTAATCCCAGCACTTTGAGAGACCAAGGTGGGCAGATCATGAGGTCAGGCGTTTGAGACCAGCCTGGCCAACATGATAAAACATGTCTCTACAAAAAAAAAAAAAAAAAAAAAATATATATATAAATATATATAAAAAATAAAAGATACACAAAAATATCAAGTTGTGGTGGCATGCACCTGTAATCCCAGCTACTCAGGAGGCTGAGGCAGAATTGCCTGAACCTAGTAGGCGGAGGTTGCAGTGAACTGAGACAGTGCCACTGCACTCCAGCCTGGGCAACAGAGTGAGACTCTGTCTCAAAAAAAAAAAAGAAAGAAAAAAGAAAAATAGGTGAGGGTACTTACTAGCAATATAAAAGTCTAATATGAATGATGTCATATGTTATAAAATGCTTTATGCTATTAATATGAAAAGGAGATGCTTTATTTTAGGTGAATTTGGCTTCATGTTTGAACTTAGGCACCCTGAGGTCAGGAAACTTTCTCCATTTTATTCACTCTATATCATCAGCACCAAGAACAGTGCCTAAATATGGGCTCAATGAATACTTCAATGCATAAATGAGTGAAGACATGAATAGTTGAGCGAACGTTCTTCATGGCAATTAGGAGAGTTGAAATGTTACAAATGGTGCCATTTGGGGTCTATCCTACAATACACTTTTAAAATCTGGGTTTCTTTCCTTAGCCATGCTGCATAAAAGTGGACATTAAACAATGTCCTGTGCATACCATGTCCCACCAAAACCGCATATAGGCACCACAATTCTGTATACTGATTTTGAAAACATTTCATTTATTTCTTTTTTTATAAGAAAGTTATCAAAAAGTGTCTGACTCAAGAAAGTGATATTATCATTTATTTTAGTGGCAATTAAACAAAAATGGAATAAATGTATATCAACTTTTTATGTATGTATGTATGTATGTGTTTATTTTTGAGATGGAGTCTCACTCTGTTGCCCAGGCTGGAGCGCAGTGCCATGGTCTTAGCTCTGCCACCTCTGCTTCCCAGATACAAGCAATTCTCCTGCCTTAGCATCCTAAGTCACTGGGACTACAGGCATACACCACCATACCTGGCTAATTTTTGTACTTTTAGCAGAGATGGGGTTTCACCATGTTGGCCAGGCTGGTCTCGAACTCCTGACCTCAGGTGAGAGCCACCCCTCTTGGCCTCCCAAATTGCTGGGATTACAGGTGTGAGCTATCACGCATGGCCTCAACTTTTTAAATGTTTAGCCATAGCACTGATATAGCTAACATTTATTGAACACTTTGCAGGTTCCAATAACCATGCTACAGGTTTCATATGCATCTTTTCATGTGTTGTTCACAATGTCCTTTGAGGTGGCCTTATCATTATACCCATTTTACAGATGCAGGGGCTGAGGCTGAGGCTTGTCCATCATCACGCACATATTGCATGGCACAGCCTGTGCTCACACCCCAAAGCCCATGTCCTGGAGTGCTGTGCCCTCCTGTCTCTCAAGTTGGTGACTTGCTTCCCTGTTAGGGAGAAGACAGTTAAATGGAAGATAAGTTCAGTTTTTGATCTTGATAATCTGATTTCCCAGTTTTTTTTGTAAAGTACTTACAATGTGACAGTGACTGTGAGAGTCGAGATAAAATGACAGAGCTGAAGAACTTCTTTGAGAAGTTCAGGATGGGAATGGAGTGAAACAATGAGATAAGTAGGAGCTCTGGGAAGGGCACTATAAAGAGATGGAAAGAACATTTTAGCTTAAATTGGTCTAGGAGTTTCCACAAACCTATGTTTTAAAAATCTCAGTGCTGTGTTCAGTCCACTTCTCACTCACTAAAATGATAACAAAATCTTGTTTTGGAAAGAGAAATTGAAGTCCTTCGAGCTATAAATATCCTTCTTAGGGAAACTACCTGTTTGGGAAACATCCTCCGGGGAGTTTTTGTCAAATTATGACTCATGGATTGATTCACATGTTCACATAATCCATTTAAACTAGTTAATATTATTTTTTTGCTTCAAGTGGCTCAATGATATGGAGAGTAAGGATGCACTTTTTCAAAGATATTTTAAATCAGATTTAATGTAATCTAGTTGTAAGCAGCTAACTTAGTGTATGTCCAACTATTAGCCAACATCACAGTAAATGAATTTGCTGCTTTCTCCATGAACTTGCATTTATTTAGAACGTATTTTGTCTGACTATTCAGTGGATAATTTTCTAGATGTTAATTGTTTACTTTCCCAAAAGACATATTAATAAACTTGAATCAATTACATGTTTATAAGGTACACATGCATCTCACTATAGTCACTTATATAATACTAATTTTAGTTTCCTCTTACGTAGAGCCTCAGCATACCCAGATACAATTTCACAGGAGATGTTTGTATATGTTGCTTGTTTCTAATCGACTCCTTCCAATTTAGACTAGATGAGACACTGATCACTGAGCCGTCCTGGAGTTTAACACCACGTTAGAGTCGCAATCTCCCTTGCAGCCTCTCCTGAAAGACACCCGGCCGTTACATCTGCATTTCATTTTCTTGTTGGTGCTTCATTAGTGCACATAGTGGATGCATGACTCCTGCTCCCATCCTCAACTGTGAGCTGCCAGCTGAAGTATTAGGTTTCTTGTTTCAGTCCATTCACCACTCTTCCCTCTTCCAGCACTGATGCACTAAAACAAAATATAACCCAGTGTATGCCTTTTGACAATTCTTGGTGCTCTTGTGGGAATAGAGAAGTTCTTTTGGAGGATGGTAATATTTTCAGGTGAACATCTCAGCTAATAGAAACATGAACTATGTCTTCTGGTATTCAATCACAGAAGCAAAAAAATTTCTCACTCATAGGCGGGTGTTGAACAATGAGAGTACATGGACACAGGGAGGGGAGCATCACACACTGAGGTCTGTTGAGGGGGGAACTAGGGGAGGGTCAACGCAGGGGTGAGGAGTTGGGGAGGGATATTAAAAAAAAGAAAAAGATTCACTGATAACAAACTTATTACATAAAAATAGAACACATAATTTAGAGAAAATTTGACGGCACCATTAGATTAGCTTAGATTACTCTGAGTACAAAATAGATGTGCTTTTTCCTTAAGTTTTTAAATTGTGTTGTCAAGCATTGTCAGTTTTTTAGGGCAACAAAAGTTGCTTAGTTACTTTTAGGGCTCAGTGGATAATGTTCTAGTACCCTTTCCATGCTTTCTCTACCTACTCTGTGTAATGCAGCAGTCACTAGCTACAGGTGGCAGTTTAAATTACACGATATTTAAATTAACTGAAATGGAATAAAATTAAATTACTCCTTAATTTTAATTACGGTCACTTGCACTGGCCACATTTTAAGTGGTCAGTAACTGCGTGAGACTAGTGGCTACATTATTGGACCCTGTACAATGCAGAACATTGTTACCATTTCAGAAAGTTCTGTTGTTCAGCAGTGGCCAGATAATTAAAAGTACTTCTAAGCCCTTGGCTTTTATTAAAAGTCAACATAAAAACTGCCATTGGTGAAGCATCACTCTAATTCCTATAAAACTGCCTTTAAGATTACTGGTTCTCATTTTGTCAATCAATCCGGGCAATTTCTCTAGAGCTCAGAACCAAAAGAAAATCTGTCTTTTAGTATTAATTGTTCAATGCTTCTTATCATAGATAAGAATTACGTAACATTTCTCATCTTACCCTCTAGGAAGGTCAAATTCAACTTGTTTGCTCTGTTGTGATGATTTGGGGGCAGGGAAGGAGGAAACTGGACATTCAAATAGAACAAATTCTTTTTCCCTCTACTAAACCTAAATCCCCATCACAAAAGCAAAAGCACACTAGTTATTTGGCCCTAACCTTTTTGTTTTTTCAATAGCAGCTTTTTTGGGATGTAATCCACATGCCATATAACTCATCTATCTAAAGCATGTGATTCAGTACTTTTAGCATATTTATAAAGCTGTGCATCTATTACCCCAATCAATTTCAAAACACCTTCATCACTCCCAAAGAAAAAGTTACCCATTAGCTGTCACTCTTTTTTTTTTCATCTTCTTCTTCCCCTACTTCTCCCAGCCC